TCCAAAACGCTCTGTGTATCCTTGTTTTTGATCCCGGGGTGTGGGAAGTCATCATCCAGCCCTCTCCCAGAAAAATGAAATATCCTAGGAAATNGGTCACATGGGTGGCAAGCCACTCCCACAAAGGAGGCCACACCCACAGAGTAGGTTCCAACAATTTTTGAAACCCACCACTGACCTGAGGGTAGGACAAGAAGCAATGGGTGGAAAGTAATCAAGGAGAAAAGCAACTTAGAACTAAAGAGAAATTTCCTGACAGTTATAGCAATTAATCAATGGAACAACTTGCCTCCAGAAGTTGTGAATTCTCCAACACTGGAAGTTTTTAAGAACATGTTGGATAACCATTTGTCTGAAATGGTATAGGGTTTCCTGCCTAAGCAGATGGTTGGACTAGAAGACCTCCAAGGTCCCTTCCAACTCTGTTATGCTATTCTATTTTCTATTTGAATTACCTGTGTTTGGACAATTACCGCCTTAAGAAGGATTAGCCCATTATTTTGACTAGGGGACCAGAATTTAAACCATATGATAAAAGGTTGTAGGAACTAAGTATGTCTGGTCTAATGAAGAGAAGGGAGATATGCTAACTGTCTTTCAATATTGGAGGGGCCGTCACAGAGAAGAGTGGGTCAACCGATTCGCTAAAGCACGTGAGGGCAGGATAAGAATTAGCGGATGGAAACTCATCAAAGAGAGATCCAACCTAGAATTAAGGAGAAGTTTCCTGACAGAGAGAACAATTAACCAGTGGAGCAGTTTGTATCTCGGAGTTGTTGGTTTTCCCCTCCCTGAAAGTGTTAAAGAAGAAATTGGATAGCCATTTGTCTGAAATGGCAGAGGGATTCCTGTTTGAGCAGGGGGTTGGACTAGAAGACCTCCAAGGCTCTTTCGGACTCTTGTATTCTATATTCTGTCTCTAACTGCCCTATTTGAACTGTCAGTAATTCTCCAAGGATATTTTGCCTTGAAGTCTTTGAGCCCTGGCAAGAAAAATGATTTTGACAATGGATTGTGGGCTTTTTTCCCCCAACCCATTTTCCATCTGTTCAGTTTTCTCCTCCTTTTTCTTTGAGAACATGTTACATCAATCTTCATTATTCTCAATTCATGTTTTATTTAGAACAAGATTAGCTTGTCATTCACTTGTCTTAAGTCACTGCTGTCCTGAAAAACGCCTTTCAGTGTTACTTCAGCAACTCATACAGTATCAGCAGGAGGTTTCTGCTGGATCATAAGCTACTAAGATCTTCTTTCTTTGGAATATTGATCATTATTTTATATCAACTTCTCTATAACATGCTCCTTGATTATATGTGCCATTCTCTGATCTTTTTCAATTCATCATGCTACTGCTTTCTTCTCAAACCTTTCATGCATTCCAAAATTCAAATGTTGAAATGTTGTAGACAATGGAAACAATTCACAAGAAGATGTTGAATTTCAAGCATGGAATGGGATAACTTCCTCCCCTAAATTATCTGGCTTTTTAGCTCACTTTTAGTGTGTGAGCAGTTAAATTCAAGGATCCATTGCATGCCTATTATTAAGTCAAATGATTCCCCTGTTAAGATTGTCTCTTTTTTTCCTCTTTATACGTCTCTCTGTTAAGTTTTATTTCATTATTTTCAGCACATTTCACTGAACTATTAAAATTGTTTAGAATCTTTCTCTAAAAATCCCAAATATTGTTGAGTTCTTGGACAGGTCTATCTTCCTTCCTTCCTTTCTTCCTTCCTTCCCTCCCTCCCTCCCACCTACAGAAGAGGTTCCAAATTTTTTTGAAACCCACCACTGGTCCTTGGATATGATTATTCTACACTATCATATTTCTCATGTTTATAAAACTCAGTGCCTCTGTGAAAGNTCCTTCCTTTCTATCTCTCTTTCCTTTCTTATCTTTTTTCTTCCTTTTTCTTTCTCTTTCCTTTCTTCCTTCTCCTTTTTCTTTCCTTCCCCTTCCTTCCTTCCTTCCTTCCTTCCTTCCTTCCTTCCTTCCTTCCTTCCTCTTTAAAATGCACCCAAAGGAACCATTTCTTTAAAAAAAAATCCTGCTATGATTCCTGCTTCAACAACCCTTTGGGAAGTGTTTTGAAAAGGCTGGTTTCTGGTCGTAAACATTTATTATTTAATTAATTTATATGCTGCCCATCTCACTATTGGAGTAAATATTCCTTGGTCCTTCAAAGTTAGTACTGTGGCTTTTTTAACAATGTTCTCAATTCTGCCCCATCCACAGTTGGAGTCTGGATATGCCATAAAAGAAGGAATTCTTTGTTATAAAATTTCTTTTCCTTACATGTTTTATTCTTCTTGGTCTTAGCCATTGTAAGAGTTGTCAACATTGTCCCTCTCTAAGTGGAAATTATGCTTAACCGATAGAACTTTTTTGTTAAAACGTCTCCTATGCTATTGTTGCCTGTCTTTTAGTGTAAAAAAAATGAGACTAATTATAGAATCATAGATAACACTTCAGTTCATAAACTGGATGGATACTAAGGTATAAAACCGTTTTGATGTCATGTTGCAATTGCGTAAACTGGGTACTTCTAATATTCCCAGCGTATAAATAAATATAAGTTAAGGTAAAATATAAATATGCTTTAGTGATATTTCAAAGGCACCAATCATAGTTTGGGCAAGATGGGTCTTTTCTCATCTCCCAGAGCTGCAAGACTGCTATGTTGCCGTCTCCTCACAAGGAGCAGTTGTGTAGTGAACTTTTGGGTGATCTTAAGTCCCTTCCTCATCTAGAGAGGCATTACCAAAGAGCCGTTCTGCTTACAACTAGTTGTTCATTCTGCTGTGGTCATTGGTTCAGTCTGCCACTTCTTCCCCAGTTTATTTTGCAAAGGTGCTTCTAATTCACTACTTTTCCAGCACAAAAATCTCACTTCTACAATTATAAGATTGGCTTGTAAAACTATTTGCCTTTCCATTTTTTTCATCCTTAGGTTAAAGGTGTAGCAAATATAAATAATAAAGTTACAGGTGTAAGACCAACAGCATTTGTTGGAAATACAGATAGTCCTTGACTTATGACCACTATTGAGCCCCAAATTTCTGTTGCTAACTGAGAAATTTGTTAAGTCCCATTGTCCCATTTTATGACTTTCCTCACCACAATTGTTTAATCACTGCACTTGTTAAGTTAGTAACATGGTTGTTAAGTCAAGCTGGCTTCCAAGCATCTGAATTTTGATTACATGACCATGTGAATGCTGCAATGGTCATAAATATGAAAAATGGTCGTAAGTCATTTTTTCAGTGTCATAACCTTGAACAGTCACCAAATGAATTGTTTGAGGACTACCTGTATACTTAACTGGATATTGGGCTTATGTTTAGCATTTGAAAATTAATTCCCAATTATAATTCAGAAACACTAAGTTCTAATTCTTCCTTAGACATGAAGTCTCTTAAATGTGTCTCCCTCCCATAATAAGTAATAGAATAACAGAGTTGGAAGGGACCTTGGAGGTCTTCTAATCCAACCTCCTGCTCAGGCAAGAAACCCTATACCATTTCAGACAAATGGTTGTCCAATCTCTTCTTCAAAACTTCCAGTGTTGGAACATTCACAATTTCTGGAGGCAAGTAAGAGATGCTTAACTGGCAAATTATTTCCAAAGTGTTTTAAGAAAATTGCAGGATTGATTCAAAGGACCATAACAGCAACATTAATGTTGCAATTCTACAATTGATGTTTGGTTCTACTTGTAAGCAAAAATGTTTCTTTAATAATAAACATTGCTTCATAAAGTTAATGATGGAATAAGTATATTAATAGTCAAGCTACATAAGTTGTATTCAGGTGTATATGTGAGGTATATAAATGGGGAGGCACAATATATAAAATTCATGTTTTTTATGCATGTAAAACAGTTGAAAGACTTTTGAGTGTTTTCACATTTTAAATAATAACATTGAACTATGAGTATCAACTGTTTACACTTAAAACATTTTCAGTACAGCTCTAGATTTGTCAAATTCATTAAGAAGCATTTTATTGATTTTGATTTTTGTCTAATTAGATATTTTAGGTCCACTACTAACTACTTAACGGTATTGGAGAAACTTGAGATATTTTATTCTTATGGAAATTAAGTTGACAAACATTTTAAAGCAGCGCTTTGTCCATTTGGCTCATAAAACATTTGTTTAGCTAGGTTTTACAATAGGCCATAAGTATCCATGGACTCTTCCACAAAATGTACACAAGTGGTACCACAAAGTAGTTCTTCCACTTTGAAATGCATTCCAACTTTGGTTAAATTTCGTATAAACTATTTTAAGAACATAATACATCTATTTTGTGGGCCCCTGTATTGACTTCCCATTGGCTTCAGGTGCAGTTTAAAGTGCTCATTTTAGCTTATAAATCCTTTTATAGCATGGGTGTCCAACCTTTTGTCTTGCCTGGGCCATATTGAGTAAAAAGGAATAGTCTTCAGCTGCATATAAAATATATAATATAGTGAATGTATATAAATCACATAATGTTAAAGGTTTACAGTCTTGTGGGGCCGTGTTACAGCCCATAAATGGGACATGCATGGCTTGTAATTGTGGCTGGATATGACTTAAATTAATAAATAGCTGTAGTTACATACAGAATCTACAACAATGGGACTGATGGATCACTTTCAAATATTACGGATTTCTTCAGAAAAAAACACAATAGTCTCAGAAGTTTCTGGCTTTCATTGATATGTGAAGTAGATGTGAAATACATGTCATTTGATAGGCTTCCCAGAGGGAATAATGCATTTTATATGCAATTGCAAATAGAAAGGAAGGGAATCCTGGCAATAATTCAAACCTCCATGGGCCAATTCAGTTTTTGTATAAAATGTATATTTTTGGGGAGGAATTACATTTTTATGTTGGGGTATTAGAGCAGGTTTTCTTCAAAGTTACTATTTTCTAATACAATGTCTGTAATGCAACACATTCTATTACAAGAACAGCCCCATAACTATGCTTTCTCTTTCTTGCAGCTCCTGCCAGCGTTCGTTATGTCCATAATGACATGGCTGTGCCAGACTTCTCTTACCACCGTCGCGACAGTTTACAAGATAGCACAAAATCCTCCCAAGATAGCAGCGCAGAGAGAAAAACCTTCACCTACTTTTTCAATGGGGCAACCTATTTGCTCTCTGCGTACTTCGCCAAGAAAGCTGTCGTTATGTTCGTCTCCAGCATGAATCCTGCTGCTGATGTATTGGCGCTGGCTAAGATTGAGATCAAGCTGTCCGATATTCCAGAAGGCAGGAATATGGTTTTCCAGTGGAGGGGAAAACCCCTGTTTGTGCGTCACAGAACCCAGGCAGAGATTGATCAAGTGGCTAAAGTACCTTTGAGTGAACTAAGAGACCCAGAGCAAGATGTGGATAGGGTGAAGAAACCGGAGTGGTTGGTAGTGCTAGGCATATGCACCCATCTTGGCTGTGTACCAATTGCAGATGCTGGGGATTTTGGAGGTTATTACTGCCCCTGCCATGGGTCCCATTATGATGCATCTGGCAGAATACGTAAGGGCCCAGCTCCACTCAATCTGGAGGTCCCACCGCATGAATTCGCTAGTGAAGATATGCTTATCGTCGGTTAAATATCCTGATTCTCGTGTACACGTTGAGGAAAGAATTGAGTCATAAGATATTGCAAAACATTACAGTTGAATTGTGGGACGTCTCGTTAGCTTTAATAAGGCATTAAACTGATGTCCTCTAATCAGATGTACGCTGTCTATACTTATTGAATCAGTCTATTTTTTTTTCTTCTAAACAACAAGTGGCGTTTTAATGACAGACAGTTAAAAGGCTTGGATGCAAAATTGGTGGCCACAGATGTAGTTTGCAACAGTGAGATGCTCGGAGCGATTTCAGCTCCCTGAACCCCTTACTATGTTCAGAACTGATTTTTAGATGAGTTTTTAATCTTTCATTTTAAAATTTAGGTACAGAAATATAGTCTGAAGCATTGATTTATGAAGAACTTAAGAAGACTGTTCGTGCCCAATGGCATGAGAAACTACACATACTTATACTGTGGAAGATTTGCCATCTTGCTTTTAAGTTCACCCAAAACAGGAGGGTTCAATTTTTCAGGTTGCAAAGGCATGAAAAAGAGCCAGTTTGGTGTGATGGTTAAGTCATTAGGCTAGAAGCCAGAAGGTTGTGAGTTCCAGTCCTGCCTTAGGCACAAAGCCAGCTGGTGACTTTGGCCAAGTCATTATCAGCTGTAGGAAGAAAACAAGGTCAGGCCACTTCTGAAAATCTTGCTAAAAAAACTGCCTGGACAAGTAGGAATCAACACTGATTTAAAGACTGATGTTTGCATGCTTATAAGCACACCATCAAAAAGTGATTGCATTTTTTCCCCCAACTGGGTTATCCTTCAATTTGTTTTAATTGGAGCCTTTTTCAGGACATAACAATTACTAAATGAGAGAGAATATAGTTGACAAAAGAATTTGGGGAATACATTAAAGTCTGGTTAGACACTATGGTTGCCAATTTGCAAAGTATTGCTTTTTACCAGTTAGAAATATTAAACTCTTCTCTCAAAACAATTTCTGTCTCTTCCCATAAAATAAAATCATCACAGCAAGGATGATAAGGGTAAAGGAACTAAACATATAAATCAAAGTTCAAAACAACTTTGTTCTGGCTTCATAAGAACCTTATATTAGAGGCGTCTTTCATAAACTAATCTCTGCAATCAGATATGTGATGTCATTTAACAACCTATTTTTTAAAAATATACATTTAAACTGGTGAAACTATAATAACATGGCTCTCATCCTTTGGGATAGTCCAGATAGGAGGCCATTTATTTTCCAGAGAACTAGGGAAGGTCCTACTGAGAAGCATTCTCCATGCCCATTTCACCTTTTGACTCAAAAAAGTATGTATTAGACCAGCATCTAGGCTGTTTCTCTTCCTTCTGTTTCCCAAGATTAGTGTCAGACCATTAAAATGGGAGAATGCCTTCTGAAACTTAAAAGTATCATCTTGGGCTCCATGCGTCCCTGGGATCTCCAGCCTGATGTCAAAACTGGGTTTTAAGGATCTAGAAGATCAGTAGGTTGGGACCAATCCTGCCTTGAGTGGAATGGTACTCTAAAAAGCACAGGTGGGTTGTGGGGCCTGTTAGATGAAGCAGATGTTGGCCATCTGCTAGAACTGATAGGAATGGTAGATGTAACCAAGAAGAGGCAGTCTCTCAAATAACCCCGCCTCCTGCCACCTCCAGTTTGGCCTCGTGCTCATTCAAAACCAACTGGAACCAACCTCAGAGGAAGGAAATAGAGCAGGCACAATACAGAAGTACCCACTTCTAGCCTCCAAAGCTAGTCCAGAAGGATACCATAGTCGATGGTATCAAAGATTTCCGAGAGGTCAAGCAGAGAAAAGATAAAACACCCTTCTAATCCTATCCCCACCTCAGGTCATCCAAACTCATGACAATTTTTTCTTCTTCTGTTGATACCTGTTGTTCTGACAGAAAAGGGTCCAGATAATCTCCTTCATCCAGGATGACGCTAATGTACAACCACTACCTCCACAATCTTCCATAACGAACAAGTCCAGTATGATGGGGTCTAGCAATGCCTCTTTAAGAAAGAATTCACCACTCTTGACAACCCAACCATTGTTACTTGCCAGGCGACTTCAGCTAACCAGGAACCACAACCATAAGGACCCTATCTGTTTCCTCAGGTCCAACAGAATCAAACTCTTCCTAGATAACAGGATGAGACTGCCACGGGCATCTCTACAGGACCCACACCAGCAATTTAGTCCAACAGATGCTCTGAAATATGTAAGACCCTTAAAAGCGATGGAACAGATTTAAGCCCTGCTGTGCCACATAATCAAATGTAGGATAGCGGTCTGGTTTTATTTTGTCTGCAAATCCATTCACGGCAGCTTTTAAACACTCCCCAAATTAGTCCAGGAAGAACTAACTGAAAAACATCTTGGCTATTCTTTTTCCTGGATATGAAATTGCTCCTTTTATCCTATTTTGGAGCGACAATAGACATCTTACAAGGCTTCTTGGGGTTTAAAAACAAGAAAGAATGAATTAAAAAGTTGTAATTCAGGAAAATATATGAAATAATCTTTATGCATAAAAAAAATTCCATGATCCATTTAAAAATGCACGTTGCCAACATTCTCCCTTGCTTCATTTTGCTCCAATTTGCTTCAAGTGATCAGTCTGCTGCCCTAACACCATCCGTCATCTCCTTTCTTCGGAGAGGTCAAGATGGGGTATAGTTGGTGGTCTTTATTCCTGTTCTGACTGAGGCTTCCCAAGAGCATTAAGCCAACTCCTTGTCCCAACAAAAACCCCTTTTATTAATCGACTGTGAATTCTGCTCATTCACATCCAGCAAAATCTTTCAAGGGAGGATTTACAGTCACAGACCTTATCTGGCTTGGAGAGNAGCCGAACTGCAGAACTGCAGTCAGCTGAAGTAGCCTGCAGTGCTGCACTCTAACTACTGCGCCACCTCGGGTCAAGGACCACAAAGCCTGGTCGAACAATCTCAAGCATTTTGGATTTTTTTTTTAGAGGGAGGAACAACAATACAAAGCTGGTTTGCCATTACTTTTTTAAAAAAATCAGGCAAGGCTAGCTAGACGCCATCCAGGCAAACAGTTTTGTTTTTAATGAGCACAATCTTCAAAAACATTCTTTGCTTAGGGTTGCTAGGGAGCAGGAGAGTCAATTTAATTAAACGTTCGAAAGAACAACAAGAACTGTAATTGTAATTTGGCGTTAGTTAAGTTCAGCTATGCAAATTCCCAGGTAGGTTACAGCCCCCCATTTCTGCATCAGTAACACACACACTGTATTATCCACGCTGTGTTTAGCAATGCACATCTGGATTCTCCCAGGCTGCTAAGTTTGTAAAACCATGTTTACGAAGCAGTCAGGGTTAATATAATGTGCTCAACTCCCAAGAAGTCCAATTCTGCCTTCATGCCAACCATTGAGCTTAGCTTTATCAGCTCAAGTAGCAACTCCCAGATGTTTTGGATAGCAATGGCCATTGCCATTGTTGGAAGAAATATCCATCTGGTTCAGTTCCAAGTGGGGAGAAAGACACTGGAAGCACGGAGGCTGGTTGGAAAGATGGTTTAATGGTGAAGCAGAACCATCAGGCAGCGTGATTCTGCTGACCACGTGGAGTGGAGAGTGAGGGTTATTTATACCCTCTCTTGGGCTTTGCTCTTGAGCTTCCTGTTCCTGTGGCAAAGGCATGCATTTCTATTGGTTGCTGTAATCAGACTCCCATGTGGGGTCAGTTTGTCTGAATCAAGTTTGAAGCCTGCCGGGTGATGCAATGAAGAGGCTTGTGTCTTGAAAGTGTGTTGGGCCATTCCTATTGTGTCTTCGTGGCTTTCCTGGTTTGGAGCTTGAGTGACGGCTGATCCTATCCTTCTACCTATTTCTGCCTTTGTTCAAAATATCCTGTCTTAAATTGGTTACCAAATCTGCATTTCTAAAGCTGACCTCAGTTTAGTATCTGGTTGGGGGCAGGGAACTGTGGTTCTGAGTTTCTCTTTCCGTTAAGATTTCCATTTCTCTTTTAGAATAGAGCAGAGGTGGGTTCCTACCAGTTCGCACCTATTTGGTAGAACCGGTTCGTCAAATCTACCGAACCAGTTAGAAAAGGTTCCACCAGTGGACCCGGAAAGCAGGCCACACCTACAGAAGTGGTTCCAAATTTTTTTTGAAACCCACCACTGTGACACTGTCATAGTTTGTGTGTGGGTGTGGGTGGGTGTGTAATGTCCCACAGTTATCTATGCATTAATAATGATCTAGTAATATATCCTTATACATTTTAGGGACCTTTCCTTACATAACTGATGTTTTCTTTCATACTTTTGGATTTCTAATTTCTGTTTCTGTTAGTTGGCAATTTCTAAAACCAATCCCACGTGAAAAAGTATTCAAAGCCTTCTTGATTTTAATTGTCAATTTATTTATTCCTGCACATTGTAATATTTATTCATTTACATATCTCTGTTTCTCCACTGTTGTGCAAACACAATTCCAGCAGCTGCTAACATGTGTAAAATTAAATATATATTATACTCCCTTTCAGATAGCCAACAAAATATTTCTGGTTTTAATTCCATATCTTGCTTTACGATTGCTTCTAACCACTAACTTCTGAATAGCTACTTGGACCGACCTAAGTACTAATTCATAATTTCATATCCGGTCACATGGGTGGTAAGCCACTCCCATCCGGTCACATGGGTATCAACCCACTCCCATCCGGTCACATGGGTGGCAAGCCACTCCCACAAAGGAGGCCACACCCACAGAGTAGGTTCCAACAATTTTTGAAACCCACCACTGGAACAGAGTAGAGTAGAGTAGAGTAGAGTAGAGTAGAGTAGAGTAGAGTAGAGTAGAGTAGAGTAGAGTAGAGTAGAGTAGAGTAGGGAATAGAAAATAGAATAGAATAGAATTCTTTATTGGCCAACACAAGGACTTTGTCTTTGGTGTATAAGCTCTCAGTGTACATAAAAGAAAAGATGCATTCGTCATGAATTTTAGGGGAAATATAATATTCTGCCCTTTTAAATATTTCTTAAAGTATTTCATTCTTCTAGGACAGGGATGGGTGCTAACTTTCTACCCCATCAATAGCTGGGGATGATGGGAGTCGTCCTCCAACATTTCCAGAAGCTGACACTTGAGGGTTGCT